TATAATGAACTCTTAAATCAGACTTTAGTTCCACCTGGAGTAAATTCACAAGCTACCCTGCAGTATACAAAGTCATTCAAACTAGCTGCTAGGGATGTTACGTTCGCGAACGATCCGATTCTTTTGAACGGCTCTTTGGTACGAACGAAGGGAACCGAGTCGTATTTGGTGAGAGCCGTTCTTTTTATCGTTGGTTCACTGCCTGCCATAAATCCACTCGCCTTTACAGGAACTTGCTTTCCTGAATGCAAATGTTCCATAGATGATGGCATACTGTAACGCATGCTGCTTGAGTAGTAGTTTGGCTGGCTGAGAGATGTAGCAAGTTGTACATTTTTCTGTGAGTAAAAGTAGATTTCTGGCAATACAGTCAATTATTATCCTGGTGATTATTTCGCAGATAAACCTATTAACCCCGCCCCCTTAAAAACATTTTTATTCCCATCACTATTACCCAGGTGGTCCTCTAATCCAGATCATGGCAAGAAGCCATAAAGAGGAGATTTAAAATACAGTGTGTGTCCTGTACAAGGATGTGATTAAGTTTATCACATTTGATATAAACAGAGAGGGTTTGCTCATTTGATCCCAACACACTTTGATAGGAACAGCATCTGTTCTACCAGTTTGATATTCAGCAGCAGCTCGTTTTCTTCAGCCTGTCTGACATGTATCTCTACAAGATGGTGGATCAAAGCTTTGGGGGTCTTCAGGCCAGCGAGGGGGGGGGCACGCTCCTGCTGCATAAGGCCATGGTGTCAGTGGTCCTCTGCTTCTTGTTAGCTTCCTCAGATCCTGCATGATGTTGAGGTGTCTTCTGCTCTCACTCATAAACACTCACAAACCTCAGAGTGATTGGAGGAGCTTTGTTGTTCAGTTGAAGTCTCTGGCCAATGTTTAGAATGAAGGGTGATCAGGTTTACGTCTCTCTTATTGAGTCATATGCTGTTTCACCCTCAATGTGTAGCTTTATCATTTTACTTAAGCTCGATCACGTTGAAGAGGTAATCATCTTTCTTTACTTTCTAGGTCATGATTACATTGAGCATCCTTGATGATGTGGAGTTTATAGTGGAACAGCAGTCCTGTAGGAGGGGTGGTGGTGTTTAAGAAGTTATGAAGCTACTGTATGTGTCAGATTAATGAGCGTTGCTACTGCAGCGAGGAATGGATACATTATCAATGGATCTGGGGTAAACCATAAATCATTGAAGAGCAACTCTATACGGTTGAAACACATAACATGTCACCGCTGTCTGTCTGACCTCAGTTTCACCTCAGTGATGTTTTTCAAAGACAAAGGTTTGGTCTACTCAAAAAACATTGTGTTTATGGCGATTACAGTTGCAATAAATTGCATTACAAAACTCAACAGAAACATGTCTTTTTCATAAACAGCTCCCCCTTAATCTGGAAAATCTGTATACTTTCCTGTGCTAATAACTAGTTTTTATTTCGACCTCTAAAAACTGTGTGGATTTTGGATTATCCAAACAGACCAGGAACAATTTAAGGTGCACTTTAAATATATTTTATAATGCTTTTAGAAACTTACCTTGTTACTGCAATCCTTGTCTCCCTTGACATGCTGTGTGGTTTTTAAACCTGACACACTCAGACAATGATAGTGCTTTTTAATTCAGTGGCCTCAGCGTACCCTGCCCAAAAAAACATCTTTCAAACCCACTTCTGAAGATCCACTCTCAAAGACTTTCGTTATGTAATTGCCTTCTGATCTTGACAAGTTTAACCGTGTTTTGTTTCCCTGTGCAACTTATAAAAGTCTAATTTCATGTTCCTCTTTTGATCCTGTTTTCCATTTTGATATCTCCATTGTGATTCCTTCTTCATTATCTTTTTTTTTTTCTTGTCTTCAAGCTTTCCTTTTCTGAATGTTTTAATATGTTTTCAACAGTTACATGAGAGTTATATCAAGGTTTTACATCAAGACAAGAAGTGATTAGTGTCTGGCAAACATATTGATTCAAAAGGACTTCTGGGCGGATATTCATAAAATATGTTTGCTTTACAACTCATGACAATAAGTCCTAAAAGAATACTTCTTGTTTTCTTCTTCTTTTTTTGTCCAGGCTAGACAAAAACATTAGTCCTACAAATGCCATGCAGTCTTCACCAAATGTGGTCCGTAACTTGGTTGGATGAACTTTAAAAAGTTTTAAAATGATACTGTAATTGGTTTCTAAATGGACTTGACATTAATGCTATAACTCTGATTGACCTCGACTGCAAATAGAGTTAAAGGGTAAATAAGCTGCTGAGCCTCAGTGCAGTCTCTGTTTTAAGTCAGTTATGTGTATCTGTACTCTGTCAGCGGTGTGACGTCTGCAGCCATCAGTCTCATTCTGCTCTTCTTCCATGATGCACAGCAGAGAAATAATGATCAGAGTGGCTTCACCCTGCTAGGCTACACTAGGAAAACTCATCCAACATAACATCCCTCTGCCGTCCCGCATGACTGTTTGTTCATCATTACCCAATGATGTGAACCATGCTGCTCTGCAATAAGCAGCGCCATCAGATGACAGACTGGAGACAGAGTTATGGGCTGAAACTAGCCTCTCCAACAAGATAGATTCTTTGTTTAAGATAATGTAAATCATAGCGATTTGTATTCACATAACACAAAGTAAACAGTTGGCGTCATGCTCGGCGTTGAGGCAGTGTCATAATATCTCCAGCACTAAGCGTCCTGTCCTGTATGAGAGGTGTGGATTATTTACTGAGTTAGACAAAGCATGCTGGTGTGTTTCTGCCTTATCAGAATGGATTATGGTGTTTGGTCAATGGCGTGTATAGCAGCTCTAGAAATAGAAACATAAATAGAGACACACAGAGCTGGAGATAAGAGGGGGATGTTAATGAGAACGACTACAGTGTTTAATTTATAGGACTGAAAGAGACCCGCCCCTTCAACCATTTAGTGTTTCAGTTGTTAATCCATTACTTATTGCAAATTATTTGACCTGCTTATCCATTCCCTTAAGGTAATTATATACATTTGTTTGTCCATTATCCATTAAACAAATAGTTATTTACTTTTGTGAGATGAAGCTAATTATTGTATCTGTTTATCCATTACTTTTAGGAAATCCTTTCACATTTTCTCTTTTAGCTCTTTGTTCAATTTGATTATCTATTGCTTATGGCTATCTTTTTCAGATGCATCTGATACTTTTTGCTCACTATTTAAGATATATATTTCATTCGTTTAATCATGACGTTTCACTATTTTACTTTTAATTCCTTATTTTAAGCGAATTCTTTTCTAATTATCACTGGCTTTAATTTACTTCCTTTTAGCTAATTAATTTGTTTATTTATTACTTTTAACTAATAATCTTCCCTTGATCCCTTTCTTTTAGCAAGAATTCTAAATGAATTGGTCCATTACTTATGGCTAATTGTTTAATTTGTAATCATCACTTTTTGCTCAATATAACAGGAACTATGTAATGCTGTATCCACTGCATTCAGATTATTTAATTATTTGATTATTACTTTAGCTATATGTTTTTTTATTTTTTTAAAACAAATCACATCATAATTTCTGTTTCTTTTTAAAATGACCAAGCCTCTCTAAACTCTATACATGGTTACAAATACCATGGTTTGGCATCTTCGTTCTTTAAATTATTATTTTTTTAAACATGACCTGGCTGGAGTTAAGGAGAGGTCACATTGACTGACATGAAGTTGTAGACGTGTTTCTCTACAAACAGTATTACTAAAGTGAGGTGGGGACAGCAGCTCAGTTTTCTCTTGTCCCTCCCCTCCTTCACGTTGAGGTGACTGCTGCTGCCTTCATCCGGTGTTTCTCCACACCAATCCTCCTACATCCCCTCCTCCCCTGCTCCCATTCACCCTTGACTATTGGGCAATACACCATCTGCCACCGGCACTGGACACGGACAGAGGGCATTAGCTATTATGTAACTGATCTCCTGCTCCTCCTCCCCATCACTTCCTCCCCTTCAGGAGCCATAGAGCGGCATGTTCGAGTTATAGTGAGAGGAGTGAGATGTGACCCCCGGGGCCTCGGGTGATGAACACTGGGCAGTGACACATACAGTAAAACAGTGACCTTACGAACTGATCACTTTATAACCTGGATGACCCCTAATGCCTGGCTTGGGCTACCTGGATCTTGGACACTTATCAAATATCTAATTACATTCATGGTTCACCACCTTGCTTTTTCTTGAGTTTTCAACCACATCTCATTGTCAGATATGGTTGGAAGCTCCAGAAATAGTTAGTGCACCTTGAGTTAAGATTCTATTCTTGGTGGCCACTCTCTCCATAGTCAATGAGGTAGTTTCAGAGTGAGAAGATCTTTGATCACACACACACACACACACACACACACACACACACACACACACACACACACACACACACACACACACACACACACAGACAGGACTTGTCACATCCTGAGCCCTGATGCTCAGTGACATGGCACATTAATGGGAAGGCCAATTCAATTTCTCCCTTCCCTCTGTGGCAGCTTACAGTGACAGCCATGCTTCAAGATAGTAGCCACCAACTCGGGGCTTTATGTCCCATAAAAGAACGTCTGTGCTGCCCCTTAACTTAGTCCACAGGCGGAGAGGAACAGATTGGATTTCAGAAATGTAATGCAATGGTAGTGTTACACAAGTAAAGCAAGAGGATCTAAGTATAGTCTTAACTTCATTCCCCAACCACAAAATCAGATTTTACAAAATGGACACTGTATTATAAAGACAGTTGGATGTTATGTGTGTCTAACATGTATTTATTTTTAAACGAAATAAGTGTAATATAGCGAATGTTTGAAGTTCCGAAATGTGCCAACTTTGAGGGTAAATATTCATAGTAGAAGTGAGTATATTGCTATCAATTTGAGAATTGGTTTATAGATTAGGTTATTTTTATTAGAGTTTGTTTGTGGGTTATTCAGTGTGACTCAGAGCATCATAATTAACGGTTCAGGAGATCAGACCCTTCATCTCTCTCTCCCATGTTCCCTTTTAGATCATGGCCATGTGCTAACACAGCATGCATTATGGATTCCCACAATATATATTTTCTTTTTATTCAATTTCCAGCCAAACATAATTTGTTGTATTTAATTCAGCTTCACTACAACTGTGTCATACTCCACATGTATTAGCTTAAAAGCTTAAAAGTAGTAAGAGTAGATTTTATTTATTTTTTGCAACATGAGGGCTTTTGACACCCACTCCCATTTAACTGACTTTGAGTGACATGGTCTCTAATCTAAAACTAATGCTGAGAAAATCTGAAAGTCAATAAGACTCCTTCAGCAACCACTTTTAAAATAGTGGGTTATATATAGAGAGAGAGAGTTGTCATTTCAGTTTAATAGAGACTGCCTCACACTGAATCCTGGGGCAGGAAACATTTATTGGAAGCATCCTAGTTTACCCCCAGGCTCGATTAAATAAACTGTATTCTCTGGACGGTGGCTGTATCTTTAATTGTTACTGACACACGGCAAATGGGAAGGAATTTGTGAAGTTTAGGGAAATTTAAGTCTTTTTTTTGTTCTACTTGGTGAGTTAGGGAGACACACATTTGGGAAATCCCCTCTCATGTCCTTACCTTTTTATTTAAAAATAAAGTTCTGTTTTTCTGTATAATCTCTCAACCTTCAAGATGTGTTCAAAATGTGTAAACATGGTTGAAGATGAAACCAAGTAAGGGTTCATTTTGCGCTGCCATGGCTTTTCGAGCTAAATAAACCATGGACAAAGGCAATTAATTAAGACTGAATGAGATGAGATTAAAATTGGTTTACGTAAGAAGGAAGAGGATGCCGTTAATTGTTTTGCAGATGTAATTTAATGATGTGGTTCATTAAAGTAAGTGATACACTAGGATTTTCATTTTGTCATGTAAGAGGCATTGTGTCTTCATTTTGTAATACATATATAAATCACAATGGAGAACAGTAAGATACTTGGCAATTATTAGGCAAAAGTGTTTAAAAGAGATAGGGAAATGGAAAGAGTGTGAGGAATGTGAACTTAAAACGGAAAGAGAGGGATTAAAGGAGATGGAATGGATTTATAGTTGTTTAATTAAAAAGAAATTATGTTTCCCTGAAAATAAGGATGTATATCACTCTCTTTCACCAATGCTGCAACTCTTACATAAAAGCAAGTTTTCTCTCCCACTGCTTTATATTATGCAGGATAATCCTACTGTATGGAAACAAAAGTAATGCTGCCCTACCATGACAGCCAGTGTGTCCTGTAGAAAGGATAATGTGATTTAACGTGACACCAAAGGCACCAGGGTCAAGCCTTCATTTTCTCCTCTAACCCATATGTCACCTTACGGTGTGACACAATGTAATTTCCTGTGCAGAGAGCCACCCTATAGTATGTGCGTGCCATCGACTGTTACAAGCAAGGTCACGGTCATACAGGGTGTGTCCACATTAATCCTGATTGGCTGTACTCAGAGGCAGGAATGATTTGCCTCTCTATAAAAGATTTATTTTATATCTGCTTATATTGGCCATCCAGGGACTTAACGAGATACAGATATGTGCCAAATTAAAGTAAAAAAAATGTGTAGTACAAGTCTTTAAATTGGTTTTAAAAGATGTTTGAATTTATTTCATATTGCCCACTCCTAGGTAAAGCATGTTGACAGTCATCTAAACTGAATCTGTATGGGAAAAGTTTATCTGACTGATTTAAACAGCAACGTTTTATTTTGTCATATTTTCTTCGTAGATGTTTTTCTTCAGTTGAGGTTAAAAAAGTATAAACTGACAGCTATAACTTCAAAGCAGGAAGGTAAAGGAATGATTACTGTGCTGATTAATAGTGCCAAACCACAGGTGGGCTGTAAACAACGACGGCTTTGCTTGACAGGGGGCAATCCATTTATTTTGTCTTTTATTTCCACTGACAATAATTGGTATTGCATGACTGTTTGATCACGCATATCAAACCTTAACATTTGAACTCTGTATAGAAGATTTGAGCTGTGTTTTGTATCTTTCGGTGCGGTGCTGAACATACATGGTTGTCCTTTGACCCCTTATTAGGCGCATTCACACCGCAGTACTTTTCCCACAAAGGTTCATGAGAATTTAGTTCATCAGAACTCTTTAGTTCTGATGAACTAAGTACAGATCGCGTTCACACCGGAATAAATCCCTGGGGGTGGATTAGGCAGATGAAGCCGCTGACGTCACTTCTTCTTCTTCTTCTTTGGGTTTACTGGCAGGCCGCAAACAGCTTCACGGCGTATACTGCCGCCCAAAATCCCCGGCCGGAAGTCCCCGGTTGTTGGGGACTGGCTTCAGTAGAAGCTGCTGGGACTCCCAGCAGCTTCTACTGAAGCCTTCCGAGTAAATCGCCAGAACGCCGACCCACACCCCTTCATGCTCCACCGCTCCCATGTTTTTATTTTGTGTTGCCATAAATTAGTCTCTCTGCGTTTCTGCGCTGGCTAATGCTAATGCTAATAATGCTAATAAAATGGTGGCTTCATAACACTTTCTTTTTGAGTTTTACGGGGCGTGGTTTGCAATCCGCCAGCAGCCAATCAGAAAATATAGCTCTCTCTTCTCACAAGAGAGCCGCATGAGAAGTCCCTGCTCTCTAGCAGGACGGAAAAGGAGGTAAAAAGGTTCTCATGAACTAATTTTAGTTCCGGCTCTTTTTCGTGTGAACGCGAACATTTCGGAACTATATCGGGATCTAAAGTGGGAGAAGTACTCCGGTGTGAACGCGGCTATTGAAACCTACCACTTATCCACATGACAGTTTATCCCCCGGAGGGATGACGCACACTGCTTAACACACACACATATACACTTGGGAAGCGAGACAGACCTTACGTAACACTTTAAAGTTACTCCAACAACAGAGCCACGTTGAGGCACAGTATTGATCGCTGTAAAAAAAAGATTTGTTGGTCCATAAAGTAATTGTCATCACTGATATTCTGTACAAACTGTGAAGTCCATGAGACAATGTAACATTTGTTATATTTTTTATAATAAACGGATTGATTGATGATGATTGATTGCAGAACAAGCATATCGCCAATTTGCTATGTCTCCTGGTGGGTCTGACCCACACAGAGCTCATACCATGAATAGCAAACTGCAGCGCAGCACACTCATAAATTCATGGCATTAGTACATGATCAGAAGTGATATAGTCATTGCATACAAACAGTAAAAAAAAGTCATCACATTTTAAAAGCCCCAATCAATCAAAGTCAAAACCTAAACCCAACAATTTTACCAAAAACCAATATAATTACATAGTAAATACCTAATTACTAATTACTAATTGAGCTCCACCCAAGTACCAGTGCCAAATTTAATTTTTGTAAGTCTCTCAGATTATTTTTTAGCAAATGTTTGAAAATGTATGTTTGAGTTGTCTTGAATGATATGGACCCGGTAACAGAATTCCAAGCTGACCCCATTGCTCCTGTAAGTACTGTTTTCTGTCCCTGAATATTTGATTCTGATTTGGGTAACAATGAAACCTTTTTTGCCTATTGGCAATGTCCTGGTTTGATAGTTATGTGTAGAGTAGCGTGCCTAAATGAACTTTTGTGACAATATACTGTGGTAAGTGTGTCAGCGCTGTAATATTCTTCTACAAAATTAAGCCAGAGAATAAAGGACCCCTCTGTCCTAACATACCTGCATCCCATTTCAGTGTCTCCAGCCTTAGTCACTCCGGGTTCCTGTAGGAGCAGCCTGCAGAAGCCAGCATGTGGCTGGCCTTATTCTGTGCTAACTTGTAAGTTTAATTTTAAATCGTTTTCTGAAAGGCACCTGACCCCAACAACCAAAACGTCAATGCAAGCTGTCGATACCGCACCAAAGCCATCCAAGANTCATTGCGTGCCTATTGATTTGAACACGATCCGTGTATCCATCATTTCCTGGTCTTCTCTAAAGGAGAGGGACCAATGAGAACTTTGTCATGTTGCCGTTGTTCAGCGTGGAAACATTCATTAGCTGACATTATTGTTCTATTGATATAAAGGGAGATCAGGTACTCTTTAAAACAGTTGGTAGTTATGGGTACTTTTTACTTAAGTACATTTCAAAGCCCATACTTCTTTACTTTTACTTGAGTAAAGAAGTTCATTCAGTACTTCTACTTTTACCCGAGTATTTTTAAATACGAGTATCTGTACTTCTACTTGAGTAAAGGATGTGTGTACTTTTGCCATCTCTGACAACCTCTGAGCACCTGTACCACTTCTGATCACACATTAGCTCAAAGCCTAGAGTTCTGGGATGTCAGTTTCAGACGGCTCAACATATGTCCTGATTTATATCATCTATGTTCTTTTCTCTGGCACTGAGACTCTGAAAACTGTCACTTTTTTTTTGATCTGATCATCTCCTGTCTGCTCTCTCTTTCACCTCTCCAGAGATCTGTCTGCTGACCCGAGGCAGACGGACGGCCAGCGTGCGAGCGGACACCTACTGCCGCCTGTACTCGCTCTCTGTGGACAACTTCAACGAGGTGCTGGAGGAGTATCCCATGATGAGGAGGGCCTTTGAGACGGTTGCCATTGACAGATTGGACAGGATAGGTAAGAAGGCCAACTTGATTTGTAACACCACAAATAAAGTTAACTTTATCTGATTTTTTTTAACTCATTGTTTCTTCACAATTTACTACTGTCCCCAAAATGACATATGGTTTAATTAATTTTTTTCGGGTCCATCCGGGCAGAAGATGCACACTTTGACATTATTTTTCTCAGATCTCGATCACAAAAAAAATCAATTTCATTTTTCCATTCAGACCAAATGTATAAAAGGTTTCTTGGGAGATTTAGTCACGGATAATGAGCATTACGCCTCACTGATAAAAGCCACAGGTAAGGTGTCTATATAGGCATATGAGTCATTCATAAGATGAAATGAGGCATAATGGAAATGTATTAATTCATTAACTTGAACACTGCACTTCCTGACAGCTGTGATCCGCTGTGTGAATGATCCTCAGAGAGGAGTCGATGGTGAAAATGTATTCATGGCTTTGAAGTTATTATGCGGTTTCGTGGGCATAAATCGGTCATGAAAATGGAAGACTTCCTGTGGATATCTGCCATTTTGCCAACTGTTATTTAACATACCGTGAGGGACACTTATGACTATCATGGCAGAAACCACTGAGCAAGATTATGGTTTGAACCTCTGTAATATTTCTAGATGAATGGACTGATTTGTTATAAGTGATCACTCAGCAGAGACTCTGTCTGAACACTGAATCACATACGCACTTAAAGGTGCACAAAGACTGATTTGTCTTCGAATCCGCGGTCAAGATTCACATTGAGAGATGCAAACTTCTCTACAATATCGGCTCAGTTAAATCTGCATTTTTTTAAATGAAATTTGGTTTGTTTCAGATATTATCGGAGTCTGCATGTCCCAGAGAATGTCGTGGCTGTTCAGAAGAGTAATGTTTTGTCACATAATGAACTGTCACATTTGAAACAAACCAAGTATATTAAAACATCTGTTAATGGGGCCCTATTTAGATTTGTTGGGATTTTCCATTTCCTGTAGTGTGTTTTATAGGTTTTGTTTATGTGAATGGTCTGCAAAGGCTCTGGGCTCTGGTTTCAGACAGAGGGTGAAAAGAGGTGCTGAGGCACAGGCAGTATGCGAAAAATAAATAAATGTTTGAACAATAAAGCACAGCAACATTACAGTAGAGGCACAAAATACAAATATGAACTTACAAATTAGCATAATAGGGACCCTTTAATAATCTACAAAGTTACGGTCCATTTAGTAATAAAAATCTACATTTAATACAATATACAGCACACATAGCATTGGTTTACTATAGCGCACCGATATGGCGGATGCAAAGACGCATGGTGGCGACAATTATCAGCCCCCAATTATTTTCTTTATCTTTATTCTTTTAAGTTGACGCAAACTTGTTATTTTTTCTTCACAATTCGAACAACTTTCCCCTCCCTTAACACCCCCCAATGTCAGTAATGCTGTTGATGTCAAACCCCCCGCCCCCCCTGTCACATGACCACACTTCACATATTTACAAAAGCCCTGGTCAGCCACCTGCCAGCTGTTGCCATAGCAGCCAGATTCCACACATGAGCAGCCTCCAGTCAGCCTGCTCACATATTTTAGGGGGGAGACTGACGTGTGTGCTCCAGGACATACAGTAACCACCGGCCAAGTATTCCCACTGGGCTCCTTGTGCACTTGATGAATATTAATCACTGATAATGTGTACTTTCGTTTGGCTTTGTCAATAGTGTAAGTTATAAAGCCTCTGTATCAAACACACAGAGGGCTGTCAGAAGATAAAAATATGACATTTAAATACAGACTTTCTAATACATTTCAGATGCTTTGTTCCTTTCATAGTAAGAAAAGATTGTTGATGCATCTCCATAAGGTCTTAAGTGTGGAATAAGTCACAGTTAAGATTTTTCATTGAGCATCTGTGACCAGGATGGCTTATTTAGGATCAGTTCAACCTGAAGGAGCATCATTATTCACTATTCTGATGGAACCAGGCTTGCTCCAATAGCAGCCATTTATACATTTTAACAAAAACTCTGACCTGGGATCCATTCCTACATAGAGAGCGGCTAATCCCTTGTGCATTGTCTTCATACACTTAATGTATCGCATTGTAAACAGTGTCACACAAGATCAGCAGAATAAGCAGTATTGCTGTGATTTAAAGCGGGATGGAGGTGTTACTTGATAATGAATAGGCAATGCAACTGATATGTGAGTTTACATGAGCTAAAGCCTAACACCTGCTCATTGGCTCTGACTTCTGAAAGGCCGATAGCTTAATGAAACTCTGCATTGGCGCCACATGTGTGTCTACCTAACAGCATGTCCTGTCTCCTTGTCAACACACCCTTGAAGTGCCAGCAGAGAGTTATTGTTCTTATATGTTGTCTTTGGCCTCTGATTGCCCTTCATGGTTTGGTAAAGTGTTGCTGCATCTCAACTATGTGAACCAAGAACAAGCCCCAATTATCTACGAGGAATATCCAGAATTAATCCTTGACGAAAAACTCTCTCAAAGTTAGACCGGGGCTTTTCCAGGCTGCAGCACAGCAAAAGAGGATTCTTCTGCCTCCTTCCTGTCGTTATAGTGGACCTCATCACAAAACCTCGATGGCCAACCGTGTGAGTTTTTTCGGCCACAGATGGAACTCATGCAAGGGAGTCATGGCAGTCTGGATCTGCCTACTCCCATCTTCCTCCTTCTGGCCCTGCGGATGGCTGTGCTCGAGAGAAACAAGTTCATCACCAACCTTTTTGACCTCTTTGTTAAATGTGTATCACTCAGGCTGTTGTAATGACTAACAGCCTTGCTTCAAAGCCAGCTCCCTAAACCACCTGCTGCATCAGAGAATCTTGGAACAGCCTCTCTTCAACTCCAAGTTACAGCAGATGGTGGATCATCTAGGTTCAGCTCAAAAGGCCGACAAGCAGCTGATATCTGGTCTTTGATCCCAAGCGTCTTCCCCCTGCAGTGCTTGTTAAGCGCTGCGATTGGCCTTTAGCGTCATAATCGCCATTGGCCGTCTGCTTGAGGTATTACAACTTTTAGCGCTCCTCTGATAGTTGCCTGGTTAAACTCAGAGGTTCTACCCCATTGGTGCCATAGAAAGCCCAATACAAATAGCATAAAACGTGTGTAGTCCAATCCAGTTCTCATGTATTTAGTCATATGCTGACTTCTTGCCAAATTCGCATAATCTCTAAAACCTAAAACTCAACGCATAACAGCACTTCTTTTTCTTTTTATATTTCAATTGTAAATTATTGTCTTTTATTGTGATTGTAGTAATGTGTTTTTATTACATGTACAGCACTTTGGCTCGACCAAAATTGCTTTTAAATGTGCTATATAAATAAAACTTGATTTGATTTAGAAGAAGAGCGCCTGCATAAGTGTATGAATGTTTATGCAGAAGTGTCGAGATCATACCAGTTATGCAAGTACAATGTGTCTAAAGCATGTTTTTATCTTCACCACAATTAGAGCCAGCACCAGTCATTTCTAACAACATGAGCACAATACAAGAAAACCTGTAATCACCTACAGGAAGTATATCCATAGAGGCACAAATGAAAAGATGTGTTGGCAACAGAAATGCTCTCTCACTCTCAGCTAAGTGAGTCTGCAGAAACCCAAGCAGGCACAAACATTAGCCCTGTGATGGGGATATAGTGAGTCAGTTTAAAGAGGATGCTCTTTATTTCTCTCTCTATCTTTGCTGTTTGTGTTTGTCAGTGATGGATTTCGTGTTCGGAGGAAACGGTGGATAGTTCTATATTTAGGCTCCTTTATCCACCGTCACCGGGAATAGAATTAAGGGTAAAGGTAAATGGTGATGATGTTTTTTCTGTGTCAAATAGACGCTGAGACTAAGAGAAGGTAGAATAATGCTATGTGACCTTGTACAACTAAAGCTGTTTTTCTCTTAACAAACAATAAAATAAACCTACATGCTGTGTCCTTGTCATTGCAGGCAAGAAGAATTCAATCCTGATGCACAAAGTACAGCATGACCTGAACTCAGGGGTCTTCAACAACCGCGAGAACGAGATGATCCAGGAGATAGTTAAATATGACCGGGAGATGGTTCAGCAGGTTGATGTTCCACGGCCGCGGGCCATGTCCATGACGCCTCCTCTCCACGGCAGTATCTTTGATTCTCCGAGCTCCTCCTCGCGTCCTCAGAATTCAGCGATCGCCACTCTGCAGCAGGCCGTAGCCATGAACTTTTGTGCCCCTGTGCAAGGTAACTCGATGGGAGGGGGGACCCTGCAGTCGCCCAGGATGGTGAGGAGATTCCAGGTGCTGGAGAGTGTGCCCAGCCCAGTTTCAGCCTCTCCCCTGCAGTCTCAGTTCCTCCCTGCAGGTGCCTTCGCCTCCGCCCTGGCCAGCCCCTCGGTCCAGAGCCCGCTGGCACTCGGAAGACGATCTTTCCAGTTCGGCTCCAGCATGGCCGGCCCCCCCTCAGGCTCCCAGCTCTCTCTGACCCAGCAGCACATGGCCAGCCCCGCACACCGGCCCAGCTCACACGAGAGTACTCATTCCCTGCAAATGGGCGTTTTAAACCAAGACGCCAGGGCACTGTCAGCCTCTCAGCCCTCACTGCCTCACGAGGGGGCGCAACAAGGTGCCCCAAGCCCCCCCCAGTCCACAAGAGTCTCCTCCACTTCTATTGGCCCACCTCAGATAACATCGGGTCACACAGGGCTACGTAGCGCTATACCACATAGGGTGGTGCTGCCCCACCAGATGTCTGTGGGGGCTTTCCCTGCAGTATCCCTGCCTGGGTCTACGCAGGGTTTTGGGGCCGGTGCAGGGCTGGCAGTAGGGGGTGCGGTAACAGGTCTGGGGGACTCGGGGCTACCCAAGAAGGACCCTATCGGGAGCCTTCCTGAGACAGACCACATCAATGTCAGATCCAGGCTTTCCTCAAACTTGTGATCCTAATTAAACTCTTCTAGTGGAGTGACTCTAATGAGGGGCTGGACTGCAGGAGCACGGGGGGGGGAGGGGGGTTTCTGCTCTCTCTCCCACAATCTGCTCAAGTTTGACTATCCGAATGTATGAATGATAAGTGAGTGGAAGCAGGGAGAATCCATTTGGAGACTGTTCTAACATAAAGTCTGTATGAGGACTTTTGAATCTGCAGCATTGAGTTGTTTCTACTCACAGACTTTATAGTTGCACAGTAGTAGTAACGTAGCATCTTCCTATCTCCAACGTGTTTATTTACTGTATTTTACAACATAGGCAACAACATACTGAATCCTCTTTATTACCCTTTTATCCACGTCATGTAATGCAAACTTGTGGTCGGGTGGATGGGACTAAAAGAAAATCAGGGACCTGCTTCAGATACCAGAAGTTGGATGCTACTGTATCTACTATATTATGTGGGCTGGCTGTAAAAGACGATCATCTCACAAAGGTACAATTATTGTAGTTTTTGTAAAGAAACCTAAAAAGTTTGAACATTTAAAGGGTGTTTTTCTTATATTTCTTGAGACTATAGACCACATTTGTAAGCAAAACTTGGACAATATTCCAATATGACCTTAAGTATTTCGAGCCATATTATTCCCAGACTATTGACATGAATACCATTATTTACAAATCAAACCCTGATTTTTTGTATCTAGTTGGCCTCTTTTGTAAGTCTCCCCTGCCTCTGATAGTCCCCACAAATAATGATGTGAGACCCTAGGACAGACAATTAATAACCTTAATTCAGCTGTGGAACAAAATGTCTATTTCCAGCCAAGCCATCGATCTCTACAGGACATTTCAGATTGTTTGTTTAATTTAAATCAATATATTTTATATCAACAATGAATAAAAGGACTAAGGTTAATGTTAAGGGAGTTCCTTACAGTGATGAACCAAAAGAGAGGGATCTGTATCTCCATTGATTTAAAGCAAAGATCTTTGGGTTTAGAGCCCATAGATTTCCTGCCATGCAGTCTTATCACGCATCAAACCTGTTTTCAGTAGCACAAGGCAAACGTTTTCAGCAAACTAAAACACATTTGTTCACCTGCAAATTGAACAAGCAAGAGAATCAGATGTTTCCCTAAGGAGTTGGTATCGACTAAACCAGAATAATATAGATATAAAAACATAGGTGGCCAGAAAGAAGACACCAGTGGTATTCAAATGTTGCTTGTGTATGCTGAAAGTTATAAAATGTCAGCTTGTTTTGCCATTGCTTTTCCCTTTTAGTGGCCTAAAATACATTGGTGCAGCTATAAGATTCGTAAATCCAATAAAAATATCCCTGACTCAAAGATACTTTTTCTTGACAGCAGATTATTTAAAGTATTAGTTGAAAGACTGTAGTCATGTGAGTAGTAACAGACCAAGTATTCAAAATGTATCTTAGAAATTATTATTCACTGCCAGTTAATTACACAGAATTTTGTACGACTCAAAATGTAAATCCATTCAAACTCGCATAATGACAATTTTTTTTTTAACCCTGAATCTCATATTTCTTGCAGCAGCAGTTTGGGCAAATTGTTTGTAGGCCAAAGTGAATTCCATACAGATAATGAAACTTGTGCAGAACTCAGCCTTACTGTAAACGCTACAGCTTCGATCGACAGCCAAGGACAGTGCGGATCATTTGCAGGATGTATATTGCAGCGTGCCTCTGTCATTGACGCCTCAATAAGAGTCCATCAGACGCCGCTGAGTTGTGTCCAAAAGCATTAAAAAGGGAACATTTTGTCCTGAACTTGACATTATACTCCCCACATCTCATTAATGCCTGGACCATTACTGGGTAATGACACTGGAAATTGGAATCCCTCCGGTCTGTTCGGGACCGTTATTATTCTCCTTTCATTGGATTTCATATTTCAGTGTCAATGATTTGCATTTTTCGTTTTGCTTGGTTTCAGTCCCTGTGTTGTTATCCACCTTGAGAGTTCCAAATGGGACAAGGTTGAAGGTTTGTAAGTATTTTTATACAGTGTTTTTGAGATCTGTTGTGTTTTTGTTCTATGCCCATGCGCTTTGGAACCTATTTGAATGCCTTGAACAATTATTTATATCGAGGCTTGTTATGGTAATGTTTTACTGAACTTGTCATTGTGTTCTGGAGAGAAAGTCTCAGGACAAGAAATGAATTTAGTTACAAAACAACTTTATGGACATTTTCACTTCATTAGAAAGCACACAGTAGAGGAAGATGAAAGGATACGGAAAGGATGAATTGCAAAAAAACAAAGGGCCGGTAGCTAAACCTACATCATAAGTAACTCCAATGTTCTCAAACAACCCAACACTTTTAATAAAAGCTGAAGAACAAACAAAGCGAAACCAAAGTTTCTTTTTATGTATGCAAATGTCTAAAACTGTTGAATCATTCTGACTGAATAAACTAACTAAAAGTACTAATCAGATTATACAATTATCAAGTTTGGTAATATTGACAGCAATAAGTGTTTGATGAAGATTACGTGGTCAGATTAAGTTCTGTTTCATTGTTGAGATGTTGATGGAGGTTCAATATTTTCCCAAACTTCACAAGATTATGTCTAAAGCCTGATTTTGTAGCAGATATTTAGATTTAAATCTGTACTCTGATTGGTTATTTCTATTTGTCATCATGTAAAGCCGACTATTTATTCAGTTAGCCTAGTTTACTGTTACTGTAGACTTGCTGAAAAAGTTGTTTTAATCTTGGACAACAAATGCTTACGATCATCTGTTTGGACTCATATTACTTGAAGATGTAATTAAAGCAAAACAAAACCGTTTGCATCACAGAAGATGTATCACTTGTTTTTCTACAGTCGCTCACAGTTTGTATAATACTGTGCCAGATGCTGTGGGTTCTGCATGGTTTCTTCTACTGTGTATGTTTTATTTGTTTGTTTATTTTTCTAATCTCCCTCCACAGTTCATTTGCAAATGTTAAATTTGTTGACAAATGCTACTACTGTTCGATGATTTTGCCTTCTATACTCTTAACCTCTGACATCTAATTAGCATGTTGCCCAGAACCCTTTAAGTGCTCTTTTCCCTCTTTTTGCAACTTTACAAACACATTTATTAAACATATTTATTATTTATACGTTAATGTAAGCAGCTGTTCACACACATGCGTCAGCTACATCAACAGAAACATTTGTGTTTGCCACGTTGTGTGCTTTCAAACATTTTCTCCCATCCACCCCGACTCTTTCTTTAGAGATCTCTCTTTTGTGTCTCCAATGTACGGAAGAGGATTAGGGCCACATGGGACATTTTTTTAAAGATCTGACCTGAGTGAACACTTTTTTTTGTTCTGAGGAATAAGCCAGAATTCTGAGAAAAAGATAATTATATATTTTTTCTGAAAATCTCAGAATTCTGACTCTTGTCTCAGAATTATATTAAAATTAAAATAAATGTCACTTGTGGTCCTTATCTTCTTCCGTCCCAATCAGCGTCTCCAGAGTTAAAACACCTTCCCATTCGAATGACTCTTTGGGTTAATCAATGGCGGTAAAATATGGAGGTCAGGGCGTTTGCATACAAGGGCTGTTCTTCGGATTGAGGGATTATGTTATCCTTACATCTAAAATCATATGATTTCTCTCTTATTGGCCACTAGAGAGTATATAACACAATCTTATACTACGTGTTCCTCAGAGATGGGGTCGTTACTAAAAAAATGTAATATATTACATATTACTTTTTTAAAAAGTAATATATTACACTACTTCGTTACTCTCTAGATAAAGTAACTCGTTACTTTACTCGTTACTTTACTCGCAGGGCCGGCCCGCCCCTCCATACAGGCAGATCACGCAGACTGCGGCGCACCTAAGCGCGCCACAGTTTTGCCTCTGTGAGACTCCACTTGCACCCCCAATTACTATTGCATTAAGCAAGANAGGGCTGTTCTTCGGATTGAGGGATTATGTTATCCTTACATCTAAAATCATATGATTTCTCTCTTATTGGCCACTAGAGAGTATATAACACAATCTTATACTACGTGTTCCTCAGAGATGGGGTCGTTACTACTACTTTTTTTTAAAGTAATATATTACACTACTTCGTTACTCTCTACATAAAGTAGCTCGTTACTTTACTCGTTACTTTACTCGCCGAGCACGTACGAACTGCGCATGCGTGAGTGGCAATAACTCTCCTTACCAGCAGGCGGCGGTAGTGTGTATTCGTCATTCAAAACAGGCAACAGACAAAGAAGAAGAACAGACTACGTGATATAAACAAACAACAAATAGCGTGTGCGTTAGCTTCACCTTAGCATGTGTTCTTTGCGGGTGTTTGTTGAGGTTTGACGTGGTGTTTACAGCAGTGGATAACAGCTTCTGGCCTGGACACAGTTTGCACCTCACCGTCACATTCCTGTATATTCTTCGGACGAACTCAAAATAATGGGCATACCTCCACCCCTCGAAAGTTATCGCTGACTCAGCCATGTTTATGCAGCACTGCACGTGGAGATGTGGAAGCGCAGATTACGTTACGTACATATAAACCTGCGGCGGAAATCCCTCTCGTCTGTCTGTGTGATTATGACTGATTTTTAGTAAGTAACGAAGTAACGCGTGTCGGGGCAATGTTAGTAACTGTAGTGTGATTACTGAATTATAAAAGTAGCGCGTTACACTACTCCGTTACCGACAAAAGTAATATTATTATTATGAGTTACACCCAACTCTGGTGTTCCTGTACTTAACAGTTACATTTAAAACAGTGATCACTCTGCATTCATTTGTTATTAACTTGCATTCTGACCTTTTCACGTTCTTTCTTTCTTTTTCGTTCTTTATGTATTTTTATTCTTAAATTCTTAAATTCTTTCTTTCTTTTTCTCAGACTGGGTACAAAAGCCAACTCCAATTCATACCTAAACACTACATACAAATCTAGTGTGTGGTCTAATGTTAACTGATATCTAAACCATTAATAAATAAATATAT